TGATAGCCCTTACAGTTACAGGATGAGATATATACCGATCCTCCATAAATTGAAAATTCAATGAATTTGAGGAAACCAAGTGGAATTCAGTGCTTGGAGCACCAACATTTTAGTTTTAAGTTTTCGTCTTTGTACTTCCGTCAATGGGGTTGCGTGTTACAAATTTTCTGCCCATCTGATCGTAGAAGGCCTTGAATTTCCAATTGATTGATGATGGGTACTACTGGTTCTTAATGAAATATTCGTCCATTTAAAAAAATCTTCATAATTATTTAAAAGATCTGGTAGCTCATGAAAAAATATGCTTCCTCTCTAACAGAAATTTGTACACTATTTTAGTTCTTATTTAGTGATCGGCAATTCAAAATTAATATATTTCTCTTTTTTTGAGTAGTAAACAAATATTTTTAATAGCAACATTTTGTTAAATAACGCAAAACTTTAATGGGTTCTAACATGAAGACCCAGGCCAAAAATAAACACAGATCTTATAAGATGGGTATGGGTGTGGGTGTGGGTTGAGGGAGGCTAAGGAGTAACTGTGGGTGGCGGTGCGTGTGAAGGGATTGGTAGAATGGGTACCAGGAAAGGGTGCTTGGTGGGGGTGCCCAGGGTACTTTAAGTGTGGCTGTGGGTAATGGTTACCATGGAGCAGTGCTCAAATGTGGGTGTGGGTGAAGGGTATATATGTATTCATATGTCGCATATATCGGAAAGTTAAATTAAAACTAAATCTATTCCTAGATTTAGTTTTAGTTTAACTTTTTTTTTTCTCCATTTATATTCGAACTTGAACTAGACAGCTACTCGAAAGAACGGTTGACGTATGTGCATCTCGAGTTGGATTGCACATATAAGAAATACGTAACTTATAAAGACGAAGCAAGAACGTATAAGAATAAGTAAATAAATAACTTGTTAGAGTACTCTCTAACAGTGATTATTTACACTCGATTTCACAGTTATCTTCTTGTAATCAATCAATAACTTTAAATAAATAACTATCAAGGATTTAAATGGAAAAATATTTATTTACAAAGTATCTGCTTTCAGAATGACTCTTCTTCTGATCTGCTTAGAGAATCAAGAAATCTTATGAGTTGATAAAAAAAGTCATAGTTAAATAGGTTGTTACTATTTTCTTTTGTTAAAAATAAACTTGCTTTTCCTTCATAAACTGGAAATCTTTTTTGGATTCTACCAAATTAAATGGAAAACCTATTAAAATATTATGCTATTCATCGTTAAAAATAACTGCTTCTTTTTTCTTGCTGTTACTCTTTTTAAAAAGAAAGAAGACAAGTAGGTGACTATAGTTTTCTTCAGGGAATTACTATAAAAGAACAAGATATGCATGATGAGCGAGTATTGTTCGTTGATTTTGACTTTTTCATAATTACAAAACCCTCCTACAGAATAGAAGCCAATGGGTGGTGTCTCTGCGACGCAAGCTATAATTTTGTAACAAAATATGCCCTGATGCCAGTTTTTACGTTATCTGATAGAAAAATATTCATCCTTTCATTTTTCATCGGTTTTAGTTCATTTTCATGAAGTAAACCTTGATTTTCAACGGAGCAATCTAACCCAGTGGGTGGGCTTCTTCTGTGTAGGGGTTTAACATAAAAGATAAAAGTATTATCTATATTACTTCAGAAAAAACGCTCTACCGAATTATTTGAATGAAATGATCTTCTTCTTTTTCACTACGAAAGATGTATCATTGTTACCAACCAGTACAAAATTCATAATGTTTTTTTGAAATTGTTATGAATAATCAAACAAATAGCACTTCGTTAGTATCGGAAGAAATATCATTCAGAATCAGCTTAATACAACGGATTACTACAATGTCATTATTAATTGCATTCGCTATACCATCCTTAACCTGTTTTCTTGTTATCTTTTATTATTTTATTCAATTGCGTAAAAAATTGCTTTTTGATCGTATCAATCATCACGTTATTTTATGCATATTAATCAGTGATTTCTTGTTGATTACAACTGAACTACCATTTTCATTGAGCTACCTTTCATTCGGATACATGCAGTCAACAAAAATATGTCTATTTTGGACTTTTTGGGATTATTATCTTCAAGCGGCCACATTATTTCTAACAATGTATGCAGCAATTGAACGTTACTTATTAGTATTTCATAGACAGTGCATTATGAAAAATAAATTATTCTTTCACTATATTCCATTAGGATTCGTTTGCTGTTATAGTTTCGGTATTTATCTTTATTTTATTCCACTGTTTTCATGTAAACCAAATTATTCGTACGACTTAGCTGCGTTCGTTTGCGGAGGACCATGTTATTTAAATGCTTTTGTTCAAAATATATATGACACAATTATTGATATTATGTTACCAACTTGTGTTCTTTTGGTTTTCAATCTATTGATGATTGGTCGTGTGATTAGATACAAACGCAAAGTATCACCGTCGACACGAGTATCGAATATATTGAAAAAAAGCCGACGAATGATTTTACAATTATTAGCCATAAGTTTAATGACTTTACTAAATTGGACGCCTTGGATTTTTATAATTTTAGTACATGATTTTTATGATCCATCATTTGGTGAACAATTCATCACTATTTTTCTCCACTATCTGCCATATTTTACCAGTTTTGCGTCACCGTTTTTGGCATTGATTAATCTACCGGAAATACGTGAGGAATTCAAGAAAGTAATGAGACAACTCATGACTACATTACATATACTGAATTCAACTCAAGTATGACTAATGGAGAAGCCGAGCAATATTTATAACCAGCAAGTAATCATTCGTAGATCACCACATTGAAAACCGCTCAGCGTAATGGGACAATTACTCACAAAATAAAAGCATTTTTTTATATTTTTTGTGTTTCATGTGTTTCTGGCATTTGTTGTATTTCTTATTGGACTCCATGTATATGTTACGGTGAAATTTTAAATTTGCCCAGTCAAAGTTCTAATTTGAATATTGACTATTATAGAAAAAGTATCAATTTCTTTTAAGAGTGCTCTTCTTTCCTGTTGCGTCGTTTCGTTTGTAGACGTGTGTTAAAAATGAATATGATTTGAAAAAGAAAAAAGTCTTCTTTCACAACCCTTTCATCGAAGAGAAAAAGCGGTCAATATTTGTCTCACGACTTTTTCATCAAATATTATTTGTCTATTTGAATAATTAAGGAATAACACTAATCTGTGCATAAAGAAAATATACTTGTAATCGTTCAATAATTATTCGAATATCTATACTTGAAAGGAACCAAATTGATATTCAGATATGCCAAATATATATTGTTTTACAAGATTTATTTGAGCAACAAAAAGAAAATTTTAATTATACCAGCTGAAGATCGAGACGATATGAACAGCATTCCAAATATACTACTATATCTGTTATACTTCAAACTGACTGACTTAGGAGCGTTGACATCAAGCAAAAGCAGTGGAATAAAATAAAACAAAATAGTGCAATTGGTTTATTCATTTTCTATTTATGCCATTAGCCTATAGAAAAATACATAATTGTTTTCATTGACGATATCGGCCAAATAGAACGAGCGATTATAAATAAGCAATGATTGACATTCATAAACTAACAAAAATAGATATAGGTGAAAATGAACACGAAATATTCAAACGTCCAATTGTGGGATCTACCTGATGAAATTCTTATGACTATTTTTGAAAAATTGAATAATGTTGCAGTGCTTAACTCTTTAATAGATGTTAGTAAACGATTAAATGAAATTGTACATGAGCCAATTTTTACAAGACATTTATCATTAATGAGGCGGCTGTCAAATAACTGCGTTCGTCCATTACCTAATTCAATACTTGATCGATTTTGTTTACGAATTTTAACTGATATTCATGATAAAATCAATTTAGCTTGATCTTGAATCATCATCTATGGAACTTATTTTTCTTTCCGGAAATTATCCTAATTTATACGGACTTGGCTTATTCGATATTCAACAAGAAACAGTCTTACGTCTTTTTACTGGTAAGATATTTGACTCCAATTCTTTCAGTGATAAATAAATTCAAATTAGAAAACAAAAGTATTTGATGTTTATTTCTATGCATGTGAAGAGAATTGTCATAAAATATTTCGTTTGAAATAGAAAATAAATATTTAATATAATAAACATCTTAGAAGAACAAAATCCATATTGTCATTAACTTAAAATTTAAAAGATAAATGTTAAATAAAATAGATTACAGGAATTAACGATTGAGATAAAATCTAATATTTGTAATACAATATAATCTATTAGATAATCCTAAAAAACACGATCCACTGTGTAGACAGCATCATTAAAAAATGAAAAATAAAATGGTACTCCGTTATTACAGGCTCCATCTCTCCCTCACTGATATTGCACTGCGTTCCGTCAATGTAGAGTACCAGCTAAGGAGTTACCAATTAAAATACATACTTAAATTTAATTAACAATCGAAAACCTAATAAAATATTTTCTCAATGATTATTTTATTGTTTAGATGAAATTCTTTTAACTAACACCATCAAAAATCAAATGGTATCAGTTGCTATTGGCATTAATACAAATGAAATACGAAGTTCAATAAATAACGGGAATCCACTTATATTTACACATATCTTTACTATATTCAATAATTTGCGATATTTAAGTTTTGGTCCATCGTGCTTATGGTATCAACGATTATCGTTTAACGAATTTCTAACTGTTGCCTCTTCAACTCTGTTAGAGTTACATGTATGTCTGAGTTATTTTGATGACTGTCTTTATTTACTGGACGGTCGTTTCAATCAACTTCATACATTTTGTGTTGATCTTAAATACATCCTTTCTTCGGGTCTAACAATTAGTAAGGTAGATTATTGTTAATTGATATCTGACTTATTCAAATGGATTAATAATATTGCTTTTTCTAGGAAACGCTGCCTCATTTGAAGTGTTTCACACTTTATTGCGATATGGATACAGAGTTTTATGATGAATTAATGATACCACTTCTACATCGAATTTAGACAAACTCGATCTATGCTTAACGAGTTTTCTCGATAATAGATTTATTGATGATTAGGAGTTGAAAAAGAATATTATCAGTCATATTCCACAATTGGAGAGATTTACATTTAATATTCGTTCATTGATTCATTATCATAATCAAATTGATTTAACATCAAATAAAGATATCCAATATACACTCATGGATTTTAAAGATGATCACATTATCTCTTGTGTGGATTATTCTTCAGTGTCCGAAGAAGGACACTGTCATATTTATTCATATCCATATCGATCGAAATATTATAACAATATAACAAATAATTTTCCAGGCGGACTATTTCAATGTGTTAGTAAAGTATCATTTTTTGATGAACGTCCTTTTGAACATGAATTTTTTCTTCGAATTGCTCGATCGTTTCCATTATTGAAAAAATTAACTTTAATTAACAAGAAACCTCAAAATAACAAAGGATATAGAACATCAAAAAATGACAATCAAGCTTTATCAATTGTAAACTACCGTCATCTTATTCAACTTCATCTTACTAAAGCTCATTAAGATTACGTCGACCAATTTTTAGTTGATATCAAGATGTGTTTGTCAAATGGTATCCATCTTTTTGTGGATTATAAGTCTTTGCAGAGCGTAATACATGATTTTACAAAAGATGTGACACGAACCAATTGTGTGAAAGTCAATCACATACTTTTAATTAATAAACCAGAAGTTCTTCTGCATTTAAAAGACTATTTTCCTCATACAAAAATATTTTGATTATCACGAACTATTATTCGAATAAAATTTAAACAAAAAAGAAAAGAAAATTGTATATTTTGTATGAAATATACGATCAATTTAAGGAAGGCTAAAATTTCTGGGCCTTTTCAACCGGTCCAAGTCACCGGGATTTTGAACACGGTCGAATATTCCTGTAACCTTATGTGAATGTCAAAAGACGGGTGGCGTTAAGAGCCGAAATCGGCCCCCTGTAGGAATCGGGACTTTCTCTACCAAAATTATCAAAAACGATGACACAAATTGTTTTATAGCAAAATCAGTTCAATATATTATATGTTTTGTAGGTACAGACAGTTCGAACTTTAATACTCAATCTGAAGATTTAACCTTATGTTTCGTTTTAAATACGCCTAACATCCACTGACTTCGTAACTTCTAACACTTCTCATTCACTAGATCTTGATCAGATCTAGAGTTTTATGTAAAAAAATTAGATGAAAACCTTGGCATGGGGGTCATCACAAGGGGAAATATCAAATTTTTTGATAAATAATCCTGATCTCTGAAAAAATGGCTAAGAGAATAGTCTCCATTTTAATCGGAACCATTATGAATTCTGTATTAAAAGATAGATCTCGATCAGATGTAGAGTTCTATGTAAAAAAATTGCGAAAACAACCTTGGCCCGGGGATCATGATATAGGGTATATATCAAATCCGCAATTACGGGTCACAGTTTCATCGTAATGAAATACATGGGTACTTACTGAAAGAGCAAAATTTGTGTGCCTCATTCCTGTTGTATCATTGTTCTATGTACGCTATTAATGTAATGCATATTGTAAGTCCCAGGTCGTTCATTCCTACAATCGGATCCAATCGGATCTGAAAATGGGTTGCACCTGATCTTACATAAAAACTGACAAGAACCAACAGATTCTGTCGGATTCCGGGTTTCGGGCCGTGATTCGGATCCGTAGGATCGGAATCCGATACTATTCGATCGTATTCTACTTTGGGATCCAATGCGCCAAAAAACTATGCTGTACTCAACTTCTAAAAAGTTCTTTTCCACTAAATAGAATTTTGATATTTTTTTAAATTCTTCCATCGGATCCGATAGAATCCGTCGTCGGATGAGTCGACCTGGGGTGTTTTAAAAAGTTCCTTTGTCGTAAATTGTTGGCGTCGTGTATTATTATAATGCCGTTTGCTTGTCAAAGTTGCGCTCGAATTGATTGTTATCTATTTTATGTGTTTATCTCATGGGTATTGTACATAACTGGGAAGAAAGTTCAAATGATGAACTATTATTGAGTTTTTTTTTGTTATCATATGTTTGTCGTGTTCTTTTCCTTTTCCCTTTTCTTTTCTTCGCATATATGTTTTCTACATATTCATCTGATCCTAATCATAATGTTTTTTTTATCTACCACTCATCATGCTCAATGTAACTTTGCAGTGAATATAACAATACATCATTAATGAATTTATCGTGTGCCCTGCCCTTCATGTTTATGCTTATAATGATTGTTCGTTCTCTTTTCTTACTATAGGATATTTTCTTCTTCTCTCACTGAGTTACTTTCGCTTCGCTCCCAATTCGTCCCCTCCGCAGTAATTGACTCTCAATTCGACCCCCCCCCTCCAATTCAATGGCTACTAATTGGTGACTAATTTGATAAACAGATGATTTTCAACAGTCAGCTGTTTTATTCAAGAGTAATACAAAGAACAAAAAAAATCATTTCACAAGTTTTGTCTTCAAAGCGCGTCCGCGTTTAATCACGAGTTGTATATCAGTGATAAATCCATCCTTATGGTCATTAAGAAGGAGCTCAAGATTCTCGTCAATAGCATCGTTCATCTGCTTTCGTTTTCACAGGTGAACTCCCGACTCTTCGGACTTGTGATACTGGTATTCGTGCGCGGTAATTTGTTGACCAACAATTCGTGAACATTCCCCATTTTTGCGTGATAGCGCGCAGAGCTGCTGTCAACGTATGTAGAAACGAGGTAGTCATTGAACTTGGTTGCAGATGCGTGCTCCGGAGTATATTCGTCCATAACTTCCGTTCAAGTACGTTCAACCAGTTCAGAAGGAATCAAGGCGAGACCAATAGCAGCATTTCTCAGAGCAAGGAGAATGTCAGTAGTGAAACTAATACACTAATAAGAAAGCACATCATATATATATATGTCGAGTGCTCGACGCAGTAATCAATTTTCTTATTGATGACTATTACTCTTATATTTGTTTCTATTTGTTTCTGGACAGGAACGAGATAATTGGGACGACGACTTGAGAATCAATCAGCTAGGAACGATTTTTTTGGGGGACGAGTTGAGTCAATTAAGGGAGGACCAGTTGAGTTAATTGCCCATGTTGCGAATACCGGATCATTTTTTGTGGTAAACCGCGGTATTTATCGGTTCTGCGGTAATGAGAGCCGGTAACCGGACCGGTAAAACCGCGGTTAACCGCCGATTTTCATGCGGTTTTTATTACATGGGTGGTAATGGGGACCAATCGAGAGGATACCCTCTCACTCCATGTTCAGTATATAAAGAGCGGATGAGAAGAGAAATAATATTTTTTTCGATCATAAACTGAAGAATAGTCACAGTTATCAAGAATGTACATCCAATTTTTTTTGTTGGTTACAGTCTTAGGTTAAGACTCTTAGCTAAAGCAATGCGCCTTGATTTGATCGCAATATCAAGAAAAGACTATATTTTAAGAGTAGTGAACTGAAATTTAGATCGGTGAGATAAATATTCATTTCAAACAGAAAAATTCTGTTCATGTCATAAATAAATTTTCTTTCCTTTCTGTTCACATAGAACCATCAATGATATACATTAATGCACATATTTGTGTTTTATTGAAGTTACACCAGCTGATGACCTTCTAACTTCGTCAATTAGTGTAACTTCTATACAACTTATGCACAATTCAAATACATATATCTATAGTTCTTCTATCATTACCATTTGGAATAGAAATGTGTGCGAGAACAGTTTCGTATATACACTCTAAAACAAGGTTCTTCCCGTCTGTTCGCCAGAAGAACCCTTTTAAGTTCGGTATGTTACTTGTTATTTTTAGAGTGTATGTTATTAAAAAATTTACGTGGTGGCCTAATTTCTCGGGTGAGAGGAAAGCAAAAATCATCTCACATCCTACATAGCAAAACATCCTGCAGGGCAATTTTTTCTATAGAAAACGAGCCTTCTTCAATTATCTAATTCATTACCCCTTCCGATTCGATTACTTTTCTGATGATGCAGCTTCAGTTTTTTATGCTATTGATTCAGTATAGGTGAATATGATGACATATCCTTCTATGAATTCTTGAGAAATTTTCATTTTGAGAATGTTTTTGTTGATTAATCGATTCAATATTTGTCTAATTCTCTTACAGAAGAAGAATAGAGAATTGAGTATTTCTCATCTACCCGCTAAATCAACGAATGTTCTGTATGAATCAGTCGAAGTCATAGACTATTTTACAACTTTGTAATGCGAGTTAATTAGGAAATAAGTTTTTTTGTAAACGTGCCTAATTATCTATTTATTCACTTATACTTAAAGATACAGCTTCGAACACGTACTGTGAAATTTTATAATATCTGTGTCTGTTCTATAAACTGGTGAACTGTGCGTCAAAAATGCCACAATTGGTTTCAAAAAATATGAGATACTCTGAATTAAATGAAAAGTCTACCATCGGTCGTTCGTGGCGCTTTTACACTGTTGCACTTATTATTAGCGGGGTTTTGATTCTATTGGCACCCAAGCTTATATGGAAGAATCCTACTGTTCAACTTATTGCATGGAAAAATCGTCTCGTTGGTTACAGTGAACATAAAGCTGCATTCATTGATTCTTCTGGTTATTTGCGATCGATTTTATCGCCCAACCTTCGATGGTGTACTGCTAATCCATTTCTAAAACCCTATAATCAAAGTGTAGTACTTGCTTTAGAACTTAAATGGGTTGCATGGCAACGCAGTCAGCTACTCACTACATACGAAATTTTGAAAAACTATGCACTTCAAATCGGAGATTGGGGTGGTGGCATAGTTCATCTTGCATATCCACCATCATTACCGTTGCCGTGTCCTTACAAAAATAATCTGACTCGTATCGGTGGTATTCATGACGGTAATAAGATAATATGTGGAATTGAAATTTTCACCCCGCTTACTAAGTGTATCGTATATAGTTTGGGTTCGTCTGGCAATTTTAATTTTGAATGGGACTTGCTAAAAAAACATCTTGTGAAGTTCACACATATGATTGTACGAGTCCACCACCAGGAGGAAAGACTGAACGAATGACTTATCATCAAATTTGTTTAGGTGATACGTCAAAGTTGCAAAAATTTATGTATCCTTACAATACTCAAAAAGAAAATATCACATTCAAAAATGAATCACTTTTTAAACGTTTTCACACAATATTGGCCGAAAATAAACACGACGAAGTTCATATTCTTAAGATGGATATCNGAAAATGAACTAGAATGAATTCTACTGGTTTAAGAATGATTCAGAATGCTTTCTCTTCAAATAGGGAACGATTTTTCAGTATAGAAGAAAGTATTCCATACTACTGTGGAACGGAAAAGAACGAGTTCCTTCAGATCGAGAATATTTCTTTCTGACTCTGAACGCATTCGCTCAAACAAGGAACGCATTCTCTACGTAGGAGATAGGTTTTCATATCCGCATGAAACCATTCTATTCCATTTTTTTTCGAAATATTTTTCACTGGGTATGCGCAAAAGCAAAGGTTGCAAGTTGCTATCAATAAATATTTAGTTTTATCTGAAAATGACTATAGCTTATTGTAGAGAGACGAGAGAATTTCTTTTTCAGCAGAAATATAGGGGGAAATTGACGGAGGAAAGATCTCACGGCCCCTTTTAACAGTAATCCAGAATTCAACTGTCCAATCTGTCAAGTGTTAAAAAAACGACGTTTTTATACGTTAAAAGTGTACATTTAAACCCATTAAAACGTTTTTTATACTTGCTTGGCTGGATGGTGCTAATAGTATATATACTGGCGACACTGAAATCGTCGATAAAGTGGAAATCTAGGTGAACATGTGTATGTATCTGTTATGATAATATTCTTCTATTTACAGGACAATATCGCTCGAAAAGAGGTTGCCCTTATAAAAAAAAGACATTTGTCTTGTTGATGCAGGATGAGAATTATTGCGGCAATTTAGAATATATAGATCATCTAAAGTAAGTCATATTCCGTTGGCATGAACTTCGATGCATTGGTTTTTGCAATCAAAGTTCATATTCTCTCTGTTACGTTGATAACCATCAAGATGCTTGGCAGCAGGTTTTTGATTTACCAAATGAAGCATCATCTATATTGTGCTCCTAACACGGGAATCTTATTCATTTGTTACAATATGCAATCAAAATTTTTAAAAAGATTGGATAATGCTCAAATCTTATAGAACATTCTGAGGAGCGCTAGAGATTTTTATCCATTCTCAAGAAAAATTTCATTTTGCCTTCGTTTCGCCTTTCTTTGATAGAAGCAATTTTTTAAATTTCTATTTGGTTTTCCCTGGTTTAATATATTTTCTTCAGTTTTTTAATAAAAATATTCTCACTTTAAAGCAGTATTTCAAATAAAGCTTTATACCAAATGCCATACAAAATGATGCATTTTCACTTAAAACTAAACGTTTCCATTCGGATTTCTTTTTCTTTTAATTTAGTTATTTATGTTTTTCTGCAAACATTTATTTGGAGAAAAGCGAATGATTTTCAAAAGAATCTATTCAAAATATATCAAAAACAGTTCGATATTATTTGTCTATGATAATTAATTATTTAACAGATGCAGTTGTGAAAAGTGACTAGTACATTGAATAGAGCTCGTCGAGTTCTATCGTGGCCTGTGGCTGGCCCAGTTTGGTCCGCTTTCTCGGAGAATTGATTCGAGAAATACTCGAATTCTGACCTAGAGTATTTTACGTGGGTGAAAACGCCACGCCACACACATTTCCTGTAGTCACCGGGATTACCACCTGATGAAGTCTAAAAGGCAGAAAGAAAAGCGGAAGCTTATATTGTTGCAGATTTGTAATACTTCTGAGAATACTAGGCATTTTGTCATATTTATTGCATTTGTTTTTATTTCACCTAAGTTTCAAACCGTAGAAGACAACGATGACTCACAGTATTTGTAAACAATAAGAATTGAATCAATTCAATTGGTTCAAAAATAACAGATGTTATTCTGCACGTATGTTCGATAAGCAACACGTTTTATACGGCAAAGCGGAACAGCGGAAACTTTCTACAAAACGCGGAAGAGGTGGCAACCCTGGTACTCACACTCCTGAAAGAACAAATTCTTCTCAGAGCAAATATTTAGTTTTCCTGCTCAACTAGTACAGAAATGTTTATATGATCCGTTAGATGATAATCTCATATCTATCTCCTCCATCTTTGATCATTTGGTTTTTGAATAAAACCAACGAGAAAAGAAAATATAATTTAACTTCTACTTTATACATTCCGGTCGAACGATTATCTGTTCTTTCGTTTTAATTAATAAATGAATCAAAATTGAAAAATTGTTCAATATTTATTTTATTAATATTGAATACATATATATGAATTTAATTACATTTATAGATGAAATATTTAAATTGAGATGATTTTTACTGTCTTCAGAAAGAGACTCAAACGGAAATAGAATAATAATCTTTTCAATCAAATCTTACTCGATACAAAACAATGATGAGATTACAGTTGATTTATTGTTTGATGATCACCTTTTTTTGCGTATGCCGGTGTTCGTTTAAAAGAATGCCGTAAAAGATAATCAAAAGAAAAAATTCAATAAATTATCATTAACTTCCTTTTTTTTATTAAAAACTCAAAATAGATAAATAGAAAAACGAACAAGTTGACAAACATAACGATTGCCTTTAACGTTTATTTATTGATATAATTAATTAGATTTATCAATGGAATAAACGCCGAAATTTCCACTAACAATTTCGATATTTCAACTGAATTGAACGATTAAATGATAAAATTCGATGTTTTCATAATGAAATTTGTAGTAAACGTTGAGAAAACATTGTTCAATTTTAATAGCAAACAGTTGTTTATTTGTCTAAATAAAAAGAATTTCATTGAATTGTTTCATTTAAATAAATATACTAATATATTCAAATATTCATAAGGATTGTATTTATTATGTAAATCAAACTATATAAAAGGTATTCAGTTTGAAAGTCTAGTTGAGCTCAATAATATAAAATTTCATTAAAAATAAATTGCTAAATTTGACATTTTTCTCCTTTTCTCTTATCTTACAACAGATTTTTTTAGTTCTATTGTTGTGTTGCGATAAACGCGGCATCGTTGTCACTTTATATATTCAGATATACATTCAGTTGGGGATGCGTCACTCGGTGTTGGTGGAAAATGTCGAAATGCAAAATATCGAAGAGGAAAACGTCGAAACACAGAAATAAAAATATCCAATAGATTGTGAAAGAGAAAAATGTAGAATATATTGAAAGAGGTCAGTTGTAAAATTGATTTTCTTTTCTTTTGATTGGTATCTCTTCGTCCGGCATATGGTATTTTACATTGAATAAAAAAAATTTTGTGGAAAGAAAAAAAATAACATTTTATTATATTTTCTATTCTCTCTCTTCTTTTTTATTATTATTAAAACAGTATTCATTATGGATCAAGGCTATGAATTCATCGTTCCGACATTTTTCTTTTCAAATTTTCATCTACATCTCTTTCTCATAAACTACTTACACTTTCGACATTTTCCTTTTCGACATTTTCCTTTTCGACATTTTCCTTTTCGACATTTTCCACCAAGATCCGTCACTCAAACCCTAAGCCGAATGTTCTGAATGAATCTGAACCTCAATATAAGTCGTTCGCTCTCGAAGGCGAAGTCAGATTTAAGTTTTCGTTGCATTCTTGCATTTACATAAAGAATATTTGATTACGGCTGACAAATGTCTTGCAGTAAATACCTATAAATATTTCATAGTTGACCTTTCTTTTTCCTCATTTTTTCAATTTCTAGTAGATTCGACGATGTATCAGAGCACTTCCAATCGGAAGTTCGAAAGATACATACCTCATATTATACTACAAAAGTTTATCATAATTGCTTTCTAATGAGCTGATGTCAAATATGAATCTATCAGTTTTATCTTGTAAGGAAATTAATGTGATGCGTACTCGCGTCACCCGCAACCACAGGGCTAGTCTCTCTTCTACTTTATTCTTCTTTACTTTTATCCAAAAACGAACTTGTATTAGGTGCAAAATTTTATTCTGCATCTCATGGCATAACCTTGAATCGGGGTCAGCGAGAAAAATGCCAACTTGACCCTAAATACCACATTTCAGACCCGATTTTCGCAGTATACCTTGCAAGAGGGAACCGGCAAACTTTTGGACTTGAAGTAAATTTGAGCTACTTCCAGTGGTGCACTGCAAAGTAGTTTTCAGCTTCAAATTTACTTGAAGCCGCTTCAAAGTTGCAAGCTACTTGTTCTTATTTCGGACTACTTGAGTGGCACTTTGAGCTGCTTGAAGCATGTACTTTGGCGTACTTTTCGACCTCAAGTCCGTGGTTTCCCCCATATATTATTTGCTAATAATAGCTACAATTATATTAATTATCTACTAATAGTATCAACAAGTAATTATAGAAGGATTAAGAGTGATTCATATAAAATATCTCATTTGATTATATATATGTAATAATATCGGCATTCGAAATTGTTGTAAAATATTTAAACTATGATTTGAATTAGTTTATGTCGAATAAATTCATAGAATTTGACAATTATTCAAATAAAATGAGAAATGGTTTTACCAAATATCTTTTTGGTAGAATATCCAGTAAATAACTTGTTCATATCGATTGATAGAATATCTCAATCTAAAGTTTTTCTTTTCTAATGACTTTCTTTAATTTTTCTTATTTAAATAACATGCCTCCTGGTTCTTTTTAGATCTTTTTTAAATAAAACTTAAAATCAATAAGAATTACCTATGAGAATCATGATTTAATAAGCATGAAAAAATATCTATGGAAAATTCGAAAGTAAAAATCTGATAAAATTTTACATGTAATAAATGATTATTGATTATGAAAAAGAAAATTTTACTAACGTGAGACCTCGATTATCTATGGTCAAACTAAATACAATTTAAATATTTTCTAAAACATACCCGTCCTGCAAAATTCATTTCGAAATTTTGAAAATCTGACTTCAGATTCGGATTCCCCGACCCCAAAAACCTATAGGAAAGTTTCATAAAAAAAAACTTAGAAGCTTAGAAATAACGTCAATGATAGCCGATGTTTTTTTGACCTGCCACAAACATACAGACGCATTTTTTTTCATATGACCCTGTCTACAGTCGAGGGAATAATTTATGTATGATTTCTAACAAAGTATATTGTTCCATATCCATATGTAAAATCTATAAAAAAATAAAAGACATTAGTAAAACCAAGTATTGAATGATGGAAAACAACAGATAACATTTGATTAATTATTTAAACTAGAAATAAAAATAAGATAGTTTCATTCTTCTTTTCTCTGGAATTGTTTTATCGTCTAGATTTAAGACCACGTTTATTGTTTAATAAGCAAAATTTATTTTATTTTATATTAATGAATAAATAGGTTGTTAAAGAAAAATTTGTTAGTTCTTGTTTTGTTCAGACGATTGGTATATTAGACATGATTTAATTCTCTTCTTTTATTTTATTTTAATTTATTTAAAATTTAAATCAATTTAATTCGATTTCATCTCATAGTTTATCAATTTTAATTAAAAATTTGTAAATTGTGACGTTTTGTATCTCGATAAGCTACTTCCTCAGATATAAAAATTTAAGACAAATGGCATATGTACATATAAGCAAATTTTTCTTTTCTTTCAGTATTAGTCATACTTTTGATAGCGATACAAAAAACAAGATGGTAATAGTAATAGCTAGCTAAGGATTCAATCCTTTTCCGTATCACTATAACAATGACAGAGACTATAGTTACTAAGGTCTGTAATGGTAGCCGAAGGTTGTGGGTGTGGGTTTTCATGTATCATCTACCCACACCCTCAAAATTCTTGTGTAAACTCACGTCAACAAAAAAAAATATTAATTGAAGAAAACGAAAATAGAAATGCTCCTCACAGCTGTCTGCAAAATATTTCCTGTGTAAATAGTGATGACTTAAACTCTTTCTGTTCGCTGGCTGTTTCAGATAGAATTTTTATTCAACTTTCGTTCTTTTTCGTTCTTTGTTATTCTCTAAAGTGGAAAGAAAAATATGACTGTAATTATTGTTTTAATCAGAAGAAAATGTGAGAAATTTAAGAAAAATAGCATACAATATGATGTTTGGTTGAAATGAATGACTTGTTATTTTGAAAGAATAGTAGCTGAGAAGAGGTGCATATAAATCTCGCCAAAATAGGCAGTTTCGATAGAAATAATGCATTGTCTTGAATAGGGGGTATAACGACTGTTAGATCAGATCAGAACTAAAACTGAACTGTCGTGCCTCTACTGTTAGAGGAGTGATAGTAGCCCATTTCACAAAGTTAGACGAATCATCTGATTATTCGTATAATTTCTTTACATGAGAGGGACTGCCGCTTATTGTTGTTGGTGAAATGCAAGTGTTAATGCGATTAAACAGATGGTCCACATACAAATACACATTACAGTGATGAATATGGGAATATATTAAGTATTTCTATAGAGATTATACTGAAAGATTTTTTCATGATGATCCTATATGGACACTCAAAAATCAATAAAGACAACACCGAAAACTTCAAACAACGTGGATATAATCATACTATTTTCTTCCTCCCTGTTTATGACTGTGATAAATATATTACATGAAAGTAAAAGGACACTTCTATTGTTATCATGTCGAGTAGAATTAAATAATGACAAAATTTTCTTGCTTTTCTTTTTATACAAGGTTTTGATTCACCTTAAGTCAGCGTTGTCGTTGAAAGCAATAGGTGATTTATAAGAAAGAGGTATAATGTCACTTTTAGACACTTATTGAATGCATGCAAACTTGCTTATACTGTGCACATTCCTCTTGGTTGGCATCACTAAAAGTGACACTGAAAAGGTACGGATCGGTCAAGAAAATGGCAAACCAGACCGAACCAATGAAAAGATATTATCCGACTCGTCATCACCGTTTATAAGTAAACAGAAAGCAAACGAGTTTCTTTCGACAAAGCATAATCGTGAAGGCAATCAACAAGAACAGAGATATGCTCAACCAACTGACGAACACATAGAACGACCCTGCACATACAAAGAATTTTAGATTGCTACACAGTGGTCTCCTCATATCAGGTGTCAAAAACCATGCTAAGAAGAAAACAAACATTGAAATTCACTAATCTTTTATTATCACGCAAAAATATTAGAAGGATTAAATTCATTAAACAAAGTTGATATAGGATTTTGTAAATACATATCAAAGGTCATAAAATAACTAATCAATTTGATGAAGCCACACTTTATTTATTTAGAGAATTAGTCTACTCCTTTAGTGCTAGTCAGAATGTAAACTATGGTGTCTTATGGAATCCATTAATTGAAAAAAAACAACGAAATTTTTAAGAATATGCTCTCATAAGGGATTTTTTATAAAAGAAACTTTTAAAAACTATGATGCTAAACCTACCACATCGCGATGTCAATAAGATGTGTTTACAGAATTTCAATCATCACATTTTAATATAATATACAAAAATTCTATGGAATACTTCGATCTGACCTAGTCAAAGTTAAAAGAGTACATGTCTCAATTTCGTTATTTTTTGTTAAATCATACCGACACTCAAGTGTATGGTCGCAGATTCATTGCATTATATTCATTTGTAGATAAAATTAAGTATACCATATGTCAATTTAAAAATTACTTTAAACCATCAACAATCTCAATTGATTCATTATCAACAAGATCAAAAAAGAAAGCTTTTCAGCGTAGCTCCATTGGGAGTAAAATATGGAACTCATACATTATGAATCACTTAGATATTAATTATAAGAAATACTTTATATTTATATTTTTGATCTGGAAATAAAATAAATATGAATATATTCGATACTTTAACATTGTCTTACTATCTAGAAAACATATTAGTTCGATTAATTGTTTTTACTTCTTATTTGGCCTGCTGAAATTGAAAAGCAATTTTTTTAACGAATAGTCTTTCCACATTGATATTTAATTAGAATTAATATCTATCGTAAATTGTTGATTTCTATCTTTATTGCTGAATACTAAAATAGTAAATCATGTTCGGAAACGATATTTAATGTGTTTAACCGATGATAGACAATCCTTACTATATTTAATCATAGGAGACGGTAGTTACTAATGGGTAATGCTAGCATACACTGGTTGCTAATGTCCGTAATAGTAAACATATACCATACAGTCGTAACTATGATCTATCATCATAAAAAGACAGATTTTGAAGGCTGCCTAGAAATTAAATCTTAATTATAATGATATCTAATTAGTGAAACTAGATTTAAATTACTGATATGAGTAGCGGTGAATATTGGCAATCGATCTGTATTAAAATTTGATCTGATTGGCACACATAAATATTACTTTTTTCATTCATGTTTTATCCCTGTAATGGGGTGAGGTACAGGAGAGTTGCAAAAACCTTGCACTTAAACTCACACACTATTTTCTTCGAAGATATATGTGCTTTCCGCAAAAGTATTGCTATGTTTGCTTCTTCTTATTCATTGAAGATTTTTCTGGAATGAAAATAATATGATAATGTCTACTGCAGTATGAATCGCATATAGAATATCTGAGAAAATAAGAAAAATCCACATAACGTTTCCTTAACAATACTTACCTACAATTTTTATCAATTAAACAACCAATGGTAAGTATAATTAAAGACGATAAAGACATGCTTCTTTTCTTGGATGAGACGAAAATCTCAATCATCTTATCGGCGTGTTCATGCAATAAGAAAGGAAAGAAAATTTTATACGAAACATCGTTCAAGTGATGATTTAGTCAATTTTATTTTAAATTCAATAGTCTTTGGGTCGTCTGTGCCTTGATGAAGTCAATTATCTTTAAGCATTTTCCGTATACTTTTAAATAAATTCATTGCATTAGAGAGCTGCGGGTCCATGCTTTTTTAGACCCGGGCCCGGACCCGGACCAGATCCGGACCCGATCGAACCTAGACCAAACCCGGTCGGGTCTAGACCCGGACCCGACCGGGTCCAGACCCGATTTTGGTTTTCACTAATATATGGCACCCTCTGTATACACGAACAGATAAAGGTACACGATTTTAACTGTTTATTGGTTACTTAAAAGAAACATTCAATGTACAATTATTTGCGGTTTTTTATTTTTTATTTTCTCACTACTAAATGGTCGTTAAATCGAATATTTTCCATTATCGATAAGTACACTATGTTAACGAAAAAAGAAATTGAGCAATTAATTGATAAACGAAATTCGGCATTGAAAATTGTCAAACCAAAAATAACATCAAAATCGTCAGCTGTATGGAATAGTTTTAACTATATTTATGTTAACGATATCAAACAAGAATATGTTATTTGTAATAAATGTGACACAAGGTTATTTTTTTTCTTTTTGTATTAAAGTGTATATTAATATTCAAGAGTAACGAACATATGTTATTGACCTGTTGATAGTTTTTTTTCATTTTTCATGTTTTTTTTTCAGTTTGATTTTGGTTTTGACGTTTGAACTGACTTTTTTTATTATATAAATCAAAGGAAACAAGAAATCTTGAAATATAAGAAAAAAATCAATATTCGTTGACTTCAATTCTTGTATATATAGATATATAGATATTCTTAAGTTAATGCAAATCGGGTCTGGAGTTATAGTTAGATACAGACCCGGACCCGGGCCCGAACGGGTTCGGGTCCGGGTCCGGGTCTGGAAGGACCTGCAGCTCTCTACATTGCATAGTACAACACTCATTATAATTTATTAGGATAGATGAATACAGTTAAACGTATATGAATAAATTGGGACAGAACAACCTACACTAATTATAATGATTTCGTTTTCTAGAAAGAGAAAGTTTGCTGAAAATATAGATAAACGTAAAGACTATGCCAGTCATTGTAGCAATAGAATTCCATAGCTGAGCTCTCTTAGAGGCCTTCAACGCACCTTCATAGTTGTGCTTGATTCTTAAAGATTCAGCTCTCTGTCCATAGCCATAAGCTATACATCCAAAACATAAACAGCAGCAAAAAATATTGAAAACAGACCAACATATATAAGATTTAATATGATCCATCGACCTAGTTGGAGTTGATTGTAAGTTGATAACTGCTGGTGTATTTTGCTTTTGATATCTTGATTGAGATTGCTCATGCACTTGGATAGGATTTTCTGTGCTGGGGAATAATATTCCATAAGGGGTGGTTCCATAAGAATATCAGTTTCTTGAGTTTTTTCTTCAAATTCAACCTCTTGAACTAAATTCGATGCAGAAACTTCGTTGCCAGTACTTGCCATTATCTATGAAGATGATTGTACAATTACACTGAAAAAAAAATACTCTAAGAAACTTAAAAAGGTTCCGAGATTTGCAACGAATTCGAAACCCTTTTGCGATGTCGTACGGAACCTTCAAAGTTCCGTATAGTCTCACGAAACCTGTGTCGGAGTCTCCGATATCTTTAAGGGTTTTGTGAGACTTTACGAAACCCTTGAAGAACCTCGAAGGTTCCGCATGATAAAGAAAAATGGTTTCGAATTCGTTGCAAATCTCGGAATCCTTTTAAGTTTTGTAGAGTGCTTATTTTTTTTTCAGTGTATTGGATTAGCAACAAAAGGACTATGTCAAGAGAAAAAAACGATGTTTGGATCATTTATGCTCTCTTCCCTGATGCTTGTTCTTGAGAAGATGAAAATCGCAGAAAACCAAAATGCTATTTCTGAAAGAAAATTTTCTGTGAAATCATGAATATAATTTCTTGCATTAGGTGAACTTTTTCATTTCTCATAAACATGCTTACTTGTCAGCGGAATAAATTTTGTGTTTTTACCATGCTAAGTATGCTTCATTGAAAAATTTATAATCAACGAAAAAATGCCATTTCCCACAGAAAAACCTTTTAGAAGTATGAATTTGTGTTTAAATTTACCGATCATATAATTTCGTCTACTAATAGTTTATAAAAAGCGAGCTATTTTCGTTTCCTCTGTGTAGTCATCTGCCAGTTAGATATTTTGGATTGACCAAATAGAAGGTGTGATGGAAGTAGAAAATATCAACTTCGTAAAGAAATTTGCGTGAGATTTAGTGGTTATCAGAAAAAAAGTACATAATAATGAAACAGATTCAAGGTGTAATGGAAGCTCAGACAAATGATAGAAGAGAATACTCGAGCACACGTTTTCTTTCTATTACTATGGTGTGCATATAATAATTCAATATCCAGATATATTTACTAGTTGCTCCTTCACTCTTTTTTTTCTATCTCTACTGTTATTCTATCTGAATGAGTTCTTCTTAAAAAAAAAACAGCGATAGAGAAAAAGGATTAGGCAATGCAAGCAAAATAAAATAAATTTTGGTGATTATTGTAACGATAAATGCGGAAAGCGTCTAAATTCCACGTGGGAGTGTAACGCTCCCGTTCGAGTGTGATCTGTGCATGGTATTTGGCCTTATGGTGCCATTTCTTCTCATCACATGTATTGTCTTTATCTTTCTGTCCTTGATATTTGTTTTTATCTCTCATTCTCGTTCGTTCTCTCAAATGGTTGAGTATTTAAGCGTGTGCTTTATATGTAATCGAGGCGATTTTATGATTTGAAGAGTGAAATAAAGTGTAATACCATCAGCACAGGTATCTTTTCTATCAGAAATCGTTACAATTATGAAATAGTTCTTGAAGGTATGAAATGTATCTTTAACATACTTTCCCACGAACGGAAGTGTAGAATCATGTATATTCAATATAAGAAAATTAGAAGCGCGAAAAATATGCAAGTATATTTGAAAAATAATGAATCGTTTATCTGCAAGATAAATAATAAAAAAGACGTGTTAGTTAACTAGAACCAAGGGATCTCGAAAGAATTTTGATTCGTTATCGACGAAGTTCAAGCAAGATATCGAAAAGAATTAGAATTGAGTAGTTCCGACTGGCTTATATTGGGCGTCTAGGAGGTTGGTTCGATTCAACAAAGAGGGTTTAACTTACATATATATTAAAGACGAAAATAAATCCTTTTGGTGAGAGAGGATATTTTCCAATGCCATTGATCATTTCTCTCGCCGATTGAGTATTATTTCACTCCTGCTGTATATATGTAATAATTTTGTTTATAAGCTACGAAAGAGTTAAAAAGTAAATTCATGAAATTTATAAATAAAATCATAATTTATGATCTATTCGGTATCAACTTTCACGTGACACCTGGTAGGGTTTATTGTGATCTTGTCAATTACATTTTTCGTTACTGCAAACTCTCTTTCTTTTTTGCCCAATTTTTAGCTACCTATTCACATATATCTTACAGAATTTAAAACATCGAAAAATACCAGTAAATCTAAGAAGGATTATACTGCATCAGCATTCAAATGTCGAATAATCTGTCACCAAAGATGTGGATTGTTTCTAAAATATTTGCTGGTCGGAATGAAGCTTTTATAGTCTCATTTAATATTAACTCTCAAAATCAAACCCAAAAGTTTTCATTGAAAGACTATCACCAGGTTTAAAGAGAATTGTGATAATTAGTTATAGTATTCAAGTGAAGCTAAAGAGCCAGTGAAATAGTATCAATTTAATCAGTTCAATAAATTCTGTTCAGCAACAATATGTTGTATCTCTTTTGATTCTTATTAGAGTAAAGTCATCTAGATAATGCAAATTCATATTCAAATATTTATTTGGTGTTACTGATTCATAAGCCTATAGAATAACGTGACAATACGTCAGTGTCATCAGTTGATGTGGATATTTCAGTATCATAGACGTGTGGTGCAGCGCAGAATTTTTTCTCGTTTTAAGCACATATAACGGTAAATAGTAGAAAAACTTTATTAGTGCATTATTAAATAAAGTGTGAAAGCAAGTCGTTTGCATAGTTTTTCATAGCTAGTGTTTCTATTGGCATTTCTCGAGTTTCAGTTTTTATTTTCTGAAAAACGATTTTGGTGTACTTGATATTGTTATAATTTGAAGAGTATCTTTTGTTTCTTTTTTTAAAAAGGAGGAAAAGAAAGACAAACAATTGTATTATTTATATGCGTTATTGGATCAAGGTTACTCATAACCATAGGATTCAAGTTTTCCTCATATGTTACGTCTTTCAACGATCCAATAAGTTTGTTATTAGCGCGATTTTAATATACTGTATTTTGATTGGAAGTATCAATCAAGCTTAAAAACTACAGTTAACAAAAAGAAACACGATTCAAAAACATCAATTAGACCATTGATGATCGAAACTCCGAGTAACTCGCATTCTTGGTTTGAATGGATACAACTTATTGCCACTATTTGCGTTCCTGTAGCCATCGGTATTTTTACCATCATACAAAATCAGTCACAAAGTGAACAGCAACGAAATAATTTGAAAATAGCTGCGGAAAATCGTTTGAAAGATATAGAAATCGCAGATTATAATCGGGGAAAAGATCGATGGCTTGCTGATGATCAACAGAAGGAAAATATTCTTGTTGATTATCAAAATTTTCTTGCTAATCTACTCGAAAAGCATGGCATGACATTGAATGGAACGTCGACAGCGCGGTTCGTAGCTCGCTTCAGAACATTGATAGCACTTAATCAGTTGAATTCGGCACGGCGTTCTTTTCTTATTCGTTCATTGTATGAGGCACAGCTGATTTCATTTCGAACTATTCAAACAAATAATACCATGACGGAATTTGAATCCGTTGACACTCCACGAAGTATTGTTGACTTGTCTTCAGCAAACTTATCCGGTTTGTCTCTAGGTATCAATGAAGATGATAACGATGAGTGTCCTCGTGAATGTATTCCTGGTGTGAGGATCGACGCGCTTGTACTGTCACAGACTCAATTAAAAAATGCATTCTTTCGAAAACTTTATTTTCAAGGGGCTTTATTCGTGAAATCTATTATGGATAGTGTTGATTTCAGATGTGCATATCTCAATGGAACTAATGATTATCTTACATTTGCAAATTCATTATTAATTCATGCAAAATTTCATAAAGCATGTGCGCAAGACGTTTCTTTTCAGTCGGTTAATTTGTACAAAGCTCAGATGCATGGTATGGTATGCAGACATTGTATATTTCGATGTGCCCAAATAAATCATGCAGATTTACACGATGTTTTCTTCTACCGAGAAGATGTGAACAAAGATAAATTGCATGACGAATATGAAAATATTAATTTTACAGAAACGTCCCTTATCGGTGCAACATTCGATCATCTTTCTTTACGTGGCACACTTTTCATCGGAACGAATTTGTCTCGCATACGTATTATAAATTGTGTGTTTTCTCGAGATTCTGTTCAATATGCGGCAGCAACTTTCGAAAAATCTACTCTGATCAATGCCACTATTGAAAATTCATCATTTGATTATGTTCATTTTATTGATAGTAACTTAAGTGGAGCAAAGATTTTCATGTCGAATTTTACCCATGCATCTATGAAAAATATTGATTTGACAGGTGCAACATTGGAGATGTGTAATTTTAGTAGTACCAATCTTGCTGGTTGCATCATGACTAATGCGAACATTCATTTGTCTTACTTTGTTGACAGTGATCTGACTGGATGTCAAGGAATAACGGATGTACAACTGGCGCAAGCTAAAAGTATTGCTGGTGCAATTTTACCGAATGGAAGCAAGATCTCATCAATATAAATTCATGCTATCAATGACAGGCCATTTTACTATTATGGTTTTTTGCAAAGAAAACTATTGGAATTAGAAATTTCTTGACGGTGTCCACCTGAGACTTCTTTGTCAAACTCATGTTCTCAAATATAGTCTCAACTCCTACCAAGCAGAAAATACGTGTGTGCATCATTTAAAATAGCTGTAAAAATATTCATTGTATTGAGATCCTGTACTTTTCGAATGAACCAGTAAAACTATGTATAAAATCTTTCAAAATTCCATAGTTCAACATTTTTTAAACACAGGTTTAGATGCCAATAAATAAAGATGATTTGTACATAGTACTCGTGGCTACGCAGAGCCACGAATAATGAATCCAAAATATGTTGAAGAGAAAATGACGAATTTCTTGTTGCCTACCCGATCATTGACTTCTTGACGAACTATTAGTGTTCGAACTTCGAAGTTCGAACAATGCATGTGGAAAACTTGAGGGACTTTATAGTTTCATCTTGCATCATCTTTCGACTGTTTTCAGGCAGAGACTTACATTTAAATCATGAATTTTTATTTATTAAACTATTACCCCTTTAATATTTTGAAAAAATAATTTTTTCTAAATGTTAACTTTCCACAAAAAACTAGGTCTTTAGTATGAATTTTGATCGAGATCTCAAAGAAACACGTAGGGAAACATTTATTCAGACATCCCCGTTCATGCTAATAAGTAGCGACATCTAAAAGATATTTATCCATTCCATGTATTGGAGGTGCTCAAAGTATTTCAATGGTTTTCTCGTATATGTAGCTGAAAAGTCTATGTAGATTGCGTGAGAACTGATTTCAACGGTCTTGTGACTGTAAAAAAAAACTTTTGGTATAAGAAATGCTGTCTCATATGGCAGATTACGTCATGAAACTCTTCTTTCTTTTCGAAGTGCCATTTAATTAGTTATTATAAAATTCGATGGAAAACATGTATTAAGAGTAGGACTTAGGTCAACATGACATTAGAACTACAATTTGCTGAAAATGATTGCTACTGCCTAAAATGTTGTACTGTTAGAATCATGTTCATAATGTAGAATTGTATCATAAATATGTATGATGAATGATTGAAGATATGATTTCTTTGCACAACTTGAGCATTTCTCATAGAGTTCTTTTCTTTTTTTTCTATTCTTTCTTGATAAAACTGGATGAAATCATGCGTTCACTATGATATCATATGAACAAATTATAACGTATATATAATTGTTTCTGAAAACATTGTAATATAGGTTTCAATAGACAATTTTTTATAGATAATTCTGTCTTTAAAATTTGAAATAAATGCGAGTCCCTGATCGCTGGACTTGTACTATCTTTCAATAGAAAAAAAAACTAAACTGGTGTTCAACGTCAAAACTCGTTTTAAAGAGGAACAGGAGCTGACAAACAATAATGATTATTTGGCAAATAGAACAGGTACTCTACAGAATTGCTATCTTATCATATATGTAGTTAGTGTATAGCGTACTTACATGAAGAACTATTCTTTGAACTGAATCTTTATTAAAAGTAATATTGTGAGCTATCATATATCTATTCATCGCGAGTAATAACAACAACAAGAATGTGCAGCAGAACTTCAAAGATTCATCATAATCATACTATTGAAATTTTAGTTTCTTTGAAGCAATTTTCAATTGAATGCAAGCTTATCTTTTAGTTCACTCCGGTATAGTTGAGAACATTCTCCTTTGAAATGCAAATGGTGATAGCACTAGTACTTATCGGTATTTCCATGTTCAATCTTACAGTGACCAGTTTACAAGCTGATGATTTTTACGTCCATGGCTTGCCTCTTTTACCTACAAAGGCTTCTTCAATCCGTATGCATGCCGGACAAATACCTATTAGTCCGAAATATGACGCAGCCCTATTTTTCTGGCACTTTGCAAGCAAAAACCTTGCTGACAGATCGAAAACAGTAATTTGGCTCAATGGAGGTCCTGGTTGTAGTAGTCTGATTGGCGCTTGGTTAGGAATTGGTCCATTTCGCTTTCAGGGCAAAGATACAATAATTGAAAATGATGGATCTTGGCATATGTCTGCCAATGTTTTGTTTGTTGACCAACCTGTTGGCACTGGCTTTTCTTATACCGTTAATAACTCATTTATTAGTGATCTCGATGAAATGGCAAATCAGTTTCTCAGTTTTCTCGATCGATACGTTGACGTTTTCCCAGAATTACTTGACGATGATATTTATTTAGCTGGTGAATCTTTTGCTGGTCAATATATTCCTTATATTGCAAAAGACATTCTAATAAAGCGATCTATGTTGAAATTACGTGGTCTTTTGATTGGTAATGGTTGGATAGATCCTGTGACTCATTATGAATTTTATTTACCTTTTGCAGTCGCAAAAAATTTAGTGAAAGTTAATTCTACTTTCTACAATAATATTGCTAACGATAGCGAAAAATGTCAGCAGGCGTTATCGAATAAAGTTCTTGTTTTAGAAGAAACATGTTCTTCAATCCTGTATGGAATAGTAGAATGCAGTATGCTTACTCAAAGTGCAATGAACAAAAAATACAGATGTGTCAATGTCTATGACGTGCGATTATATGATACATGGCCTGCTTGTGGTAGGAATTGGCCACCGGAAATGGAATATATCACGCTTTATTTACATCGAAAAGATGTTAGGTCACGTATACATGTTGATCGTAATACATCAGAATGGGAAATGTGTGTGGATTCTGTTACGAGAACACTTGCTAAAACTGAGTCTGAACCATCCATTAAATTTTTACCTGATTTACTTCAGCAAGTTCCACTCCTACTTTATAGTAGTGAATATGACTTGATTTGCAATCACTGGGGAATGGAGAAAATGATGGATAATATTACTTGGAACAATAGAACTGGATTTGACCTTGGAAATGGTACTTTAGCTCCATTAGATCCCTGGTTTGCAGATGATGATGAACCTGTCGGTCTTATTCGAACGGCGCGTAATTTAAGTTATATTTTATTTTATAAAGCCGGCCATGTGGTCGCATATGATTATCCCCGTCGATCGCTTGCTATGCTAAATCAATTCATGCAACTAAAGTTATATTCTAATGCCTATCAAGCAAGAAAACGAAACACATTCAGAAAGATGATTACGAGCATACGTGGTGCGTACAAGAGCATTTATTTCATCGCATTTGTTTCATTTTTGATCATTATTACTCTTACTGGAATGGCTTGTTTTGTTATACGAAAACAAAGACATATTAGAATGCGCGTACCGTTTATTAAGCCTCGTGTGTTGGAGTCACAAAATCTTGATGTCAGCCTACAGCAAATGTTAGTATATTCTCCCGTCGGGGAGGCGCAAGAAAATATGTGAACATCAGGTGACAGCAAATTTGTATAGTGCATATTAAATCTTATTAACATTCCTTTTTTTGTAACAATGTACATCTGGTGTTTCTTATGACTATTGTATTTTTGAAAGCAATCAATAAATATCTAGACCGAGCCTGCTCAACCCATGAGATACCTAGTTCGAATTCGAATATAAATGAACACCCAAGTGCATGATATCAATTCGAAAATAAGTGATAGAAATAGATTTAGTTTTAATTTTATATTTAGTTTAAGATGGAGTGGGTGTGGGTTGAGGGGGACTAAGGGATAACTGTGGGTGACGGTGCAAGTGAGGGGTGGGTAGGAGGTGTACCCGGAAAGGGTGCGGGTACCTGATGTACTTCAAACGCGGTTGTGGATGAAGGATACCCAGAATGGGTGCAGAGGTATCCAGTATACTTCAAATGTGAGTGTGGGTGATGGATACCATGGAGGAGTACTCAAATGTGGGTGTGGGTGCGGGTGAAGGGTATATGTGTATTCATATGTCGCATATATCGGAAAGCTAAACTAAAACTAAATCTATCTTAGATTTAGTTTTAGTTTAACTTTTTCTTTTCTTCATTTATATTCGAACTTGAATTAGACAGCTACTCACGCTGTCACAAGAACAAAGCATCATTTTGATGGTATTAATTTTACTTTGCATGATCTTCGTCAAATTCTTGGTGATTTTTAAAGTAATATTGAATACATTTTTCAGATTTTTCAATACGCTTTATCGAATTCGGAGATGAGTAATTCTATCTTAGAAAGTCGCTTTTTTGGATTTTTCAAAGTTAGATAAAAACAATTCATGATTATGAAATAATTTTATTGAAATAGATTTTCAGTGAAAAACATTTATTAGAATTATTTTATTTCCTTCGATGTTTTCCAGGTATACAATTGCGCATTGTCGAATAGAATATTGAAATGTTTCTTATCAGGGTTTTCGAATGTAATGATCTTGAAGCGTATGCTTGCATTTGGCACATGTTGGATTTCCAAGTCCGAAGGCGCCCATAAAACCTAGGCTGCCAGAGAACAAATTACAGAAGCTTTTTAGGGGCGAGTGGCAATCGTTACAACAGATCTATCTGCATATAGAACAGATAATCGGCATAGTCAATTTGAAATTGTATCATTTATGTCTTGAAAAGTTGCGATTCAAATCTAAACAAAAATGCATAAGTCAAATGATGATTATCTACTACTTAAACTACTTAAACCAGTGAATCAGTTATTTTTCGAAGGGTTGGTCTGTTTATTGTCGACATTAATGAGTTATCGAAAGACAGTAAAGCTATAGATAGCTTGTAGCATATATTATCAATTTTTTTAACGGCAGAGCGATTTTTTTGCAGCCTATCACCTCAGTAACTTCGGAGGGTGTGGGTCTGGGTCTGGATGTGAGTCTGAGTGTAGATATGGGTATGGTTTTTCATGTTGCATTTCTTCATTCTTACACACCCACACCCTTACTACTGATTATAATTAAAACAAGTTTGTTGTTGATTGTATAATATGTTCGGCATGATTGACAAAGTTGATGGGTCTTGTCAATTTTACTACTACATTCCCAACAAAGAATTCTATGACATTGGTTGCAGTTACTAGTGATTTCTAATGGTTTTATGAAATGAAAATATAGCTGATATTGTGTAGGAGACATTGTCGATAAATTATGTAAAGGAGTATATAATCCAAAATTTGATAAATACATTGAGATCATTTGAGAAGTATTAGATGGTAACATATAAGTAATCGGTGGTAATGAACCATTATGAATACCAGCAGGTGTCACATTTGTTGCGTTTGTTGAATCTTCTATATTTGTTTCAATAGCATTATAAATATCTGTAGTTGGCCTTACATTTTGTTTCTGTGTAACGTTCGTTTTGTTCGAATTATTTTTATGTATTGGTAAGTTTAGCTTCAATAGTTTTTTTCTCTTTAATTGTTGTCAATGCAAATTTGTCAAAGTCTGTTACAATTCTTCCTTTTGCTCCTGAAACCACACGCTTCTTTCCTTTTGTACATATTGTTGACGATTGAGAAAAATATTTCTTTACCATTGCTTCAATAGCGTCTAATGAACGATTTTTTTCTAAATATAATTGAAATATTTTATACTGGCATTGTTTTCTATTAGGAACATTAGGCTACCTGTTGATTGTGACGGAATCAATAAATTGTCATTTGTATTCGATATTGACAAATCAGAATCATTTGAAGAGGTTGAATTAATAATGAGTATCGATTGAATAGGAGTAGTTATTATTGATGTTACTATTGAGTCTGTAGCTCTAAGAGCATGATCAAGAGAACTATAGCATCTTGATACTCAATTACTGATTCTCATTGTTGTTTTGTTTTATTTGATTCATCATAACCTACAAAATTAGCATTAAAAAGATTTTTTAAATTTTATCTGGGCTTACCGGAAAAAAGAGCTGGATCAGGTGGATATTTTACCAATTGATGGTTTCGATTTGAATCCAATCGTGATGGTGATGGTGATGTTGTTGTTATCACTTCATTGTCAAGGTAATTGAATTCGACAGACTTTGAACGAGGTAAGACGTTTGATGTTGTTGAACGTGAAGATGCTTTAATAAGTTTATCACGTTTAATTGCGCGAGGATCATATGGAAAAATACCTGCTTTTCCTAAAGCAGATGAACAATGGGCTCGTATAAGTGCATATTGATATAGTTGAGCATGCAGTCGGATAAAGTTAGGTTTAACTAACTTTTTTGTAGCATCTTTTTGCTATAATCCTAAAATAGACTACGTCTTTGTGCCTTCACATACATCAGTATGTAAACACCCAATTACGGTTGGAGGAGATGTGTGACATGAGCAGGAAGACACAATAGATGCATATCATTGTCTATTGCTAATCGTGCAGTTTTTAATGATAAATGTGACGTATGCCCGTCAAATATCAATAAAAGTGGCCTTGGAATATGTTTCGTTTGTGGTATACCGTAGTATTTCTTTACTGCTACCAGTATGAATTCTAAATATCAAACGACAAGCTGAGTAATGAAAACAATAATAAAAAGAATGATTATTAACTCACTTATTTGCATATTTAGTATCTCGACTAACGACGACCTTTTTTCCTGGATCATCTCGAAAACCATTCTCATCACAGTTGAACAATTGTTGAGGCTTATTAAATAAATCGAGTTTCAATAAAACTGAATGGAGCTTGGCAAACCAACCATCAACGGTACTCAATGTAACATTGGCTCTAACTTTTTCTAATTTCGTGCTGTTCATTATTTTTAATTTGTCTTTCCACCGCCGTAGAAAACTGTAATACCAATCACGCGTTGGTGCATCATTTTTCAATCGAGACTTTAAATTCATTATGTCAACAAATTCAGTTGCATTTTTCAATATATCATCACACGTTGATATTTCACCATAATCTTGTAAAGTAATAATCAAATCAACTAAATTTTTCTCTTCTGTTTTAGTCAAAGCTGTAGGACGACCAACTTGATGATTTGAATTTCGAGATATTCGAGATGCAAACGTGCTTTATCAAAGCGGAACTAATTTAATTTCAATTATCTAAATGAGAAAAGTTAATTATAATAATGTTGTGTGAAATACATGGATTTATCCAAATTCCCCGTCTTCCTAGTATATCTATCCAGTTAACCCTGATGGGGTAATGGAAAAACATCAGTTGAGCCAATTGCAAAAACAGATAGGAAATAGACCCTTTTAACTCCAACTAAAAATGTTTTTTTTCACAGGTCGATAGAGAATCAGTCACTCTATCTGCATGCTGAATCATGTGAAAAAATATTCAAATAGAAAAAATGATACCAAAAATTAAAAAAAGAATTGAAAACATATATCCAATTGCCCCACACTGTTCTACTCGAGTTTTGAAGTTTCTCCGAAATCTAAAATTCAATATATCTTTCTTTTCCTTCATTTTTTCTGATCAATACCTATCGTTTCGGTGCGACATCTATTGGTGAATATTTTCGCCGCCAGTTAACATCCATACATTACCAATGTTAATTTTTCAGCCATTCTTCCTTTGTTTTCATGATTCATTCATATACCTTCTTCGACATGAAGAAAGAATGGTGGCCCTTTTTTTCTTTCTTCGCGAATCGTCCGATCAATTCAGACGAGCATTCAGTACATAATTTTAATAAATTTGAATTCATCATGATGTTATCAATCGTGTCGTTTTGTCAAAGCAATAAAATTCCTTACTTTTTTTCTGGTTATTTCTATTCTAGATTAAGAATTAAAAATGAGTGACACTGAAGAAGCAATGGATACAACGAATGACAAAAATGAATCAGAAAATGTAACTCCTACCAAACGAGCAGCAGTTGTTAAACGACAAAAAGAAAAGCTTGAAGAAAAACAAGATGCCGAAGAACTCGAAGAGGAACTCGGTGGTGTCGATGAATTACCAGACAATGAAGAAGATTCTGATCAGGAATATACAACCAAAAAAAAGAAACCTATTAAAAAACCTGAAATAGTTCACGATCCTGCATTTCAAAGTCGATTGGTAAAGATTTGAAAAAAAGCAACAACAAATTCTATGATTAAATCATTTTAAATTTAGAATGAAGATCAAGTTAAACGATTTAATTATTTACTTGAACAAACAGAAATTTTTTCACATTTCGTCCAAGACGGTCAACTTAATAAACATGCTAAAGGTGCTGGGCCAACATCACCATTAAAAATGAAAACACAAGTTAAAAAAACAACTGCATTACAAAGCACTAGTGCTGGAGAGTAAGTATTTCTATTTGATATTGAAAAAAAAATGATTTGATTTTTATTATTAGTCATCGTCATCGAATGACTGAAGAAGAAGAAGACGCTGAATTATTAAGTGATGCTAAAGAAGCTGAAAGACTTAATTCCATAACTCGTTTCGATCAATCACCATGGTGTAAGTTACTAAAATAAAAATATTTCTTTTCGAAAAATAATTTCCTCTGAAAATACTTTAGATGTCAAAGGTGGTGAAATGCGTGATTATCAAGTTCGTGGGCTTAATTGGATGATATCATTATATGAAAATGGTATTAATGGAATTCTTGCTGATGAAATGGTATGAAAAAAATATAGACAGTATCGAGAACCGAATAGTTGTCAAGATTTTTGAAGTAGTCCGAAACAAATAATCGAGCCTTGTGTCTTGCTAAATCGAGCAGCGGCTTGTGTTCGCCCTAATAGTATAAATTTTTTTATGCTTCAGTACCCCTATTTTGACTTCTAAGATAAAAAATTACGCTAGGTTTTCTTGATTTGCGTTAAAGTTAACCCAGATGTATTTTACTCAATAAGTAAAAGATTTCAAAATCCCGTTCAGCGTTGATAACAATATATAACTCAATCTCATTGATAGGGTCTTGGAAAAACATTACAAACAATATCATTACTTGGCTATATGAAATTATGTCGAAAGAGTGTACCACATTTGGTTATATCTCCAAAATCCACATTACGTAATTGGATGAATGAATTAAAACGTTGGGTACCATCATTGAATAGTGTTTGTTTGATTGGTTCAGCAGAAGAACGTAGCCGTGTCATTCGTGAAGAAGTGGAACCTGGTGGTTGGGATGTTGTTGTTACATCCTATGAAATTGTGTTACGTGAAGCAGCAATTTTAAAAAAATATAATTGGTGCTATGTTGTCATCGATGAAGCTCATCGTATTAAAAATGAACAATCAAAATTAAGTAAAATGGTTCGTTTACTTAAATCTCGAAATCGTCTTTTAATCACTGGTACACCATTACAAAATAATTTACATGAATTATGGGCATTACTGAACTTTCTCTTGCCTGATGTATTCGATTCCGCTGATGATTTCAATGCCTGGTTCGATACACAGAAATGTTTAGCTGACGATAAAGATCTTGTAACACGTTTACATGGTATTTTAAAACCATTTTTATTACGACGTCTTAAAACCGATGTGGAAAAGAAACTTCCACCTAAAATTGAAACAAAACTCTATGTTGGCTTAGCACCATTACAACGGCAATGGTATACGAAAATTTTAATGAAAGATATTGACATATTAAATAGTGCAAGTGGTAAACTTGATAAAATTCGTTTATTAAACATTCTCATGCAACTTCGAAAATGTGCTAATCATCCATGTAAGGCAAAAAAGCAATAAGCATGGAATTGTTTGCTGATTGACTGAAATTGTTTTTTTTTTATAGATATTTTCGATGGTGCCGAACCTGGTCCACCGTTTACAACAGATAAACATCTAGTTGATAATTGTGGGAAAATGCTCATCTTAGATAAACTTCTACTCAAACTGAAAGAACAAGGTTCACGTGTACTTATTTTTAGTCAAATGACACGTATGTTAGATATATTAGAAGATTATTGTATATGGAGAAATTTTGAATATTGCCGATTGGACGGTCAAACATCGCATGAGGATCGACAAGCATCTATTGATTCATATAATAGTCCAGATAGTAGTAAATTTGTATTTATGTTATCAACACGTGCTGGTGGTTTGGGTATTAATTTAGCAACAGCTGATGTTGTTGTTCTCTATGATAGCGATTGGAATCCACAAGTCGATTTACAAGCTACAGATCGTGCACATCGTATCGGTCAAACTAAAACGGTAAATCAATTGAAAAATATTTTGACACCAAAATATAATAGTTTTTTTTCAGGTTCGTGTATTTCGATTAATAACTGAACATACCGTTGAAGAACGTATAGTGGAACGTGCTGAAATGAAGCTACGTCTTGATCATGTCGTTATTCAGCAAGGTCGTTTACAAGAAGCCTCAACGAAATTAGATAAAGATGAAATGTTATCTATGATTCGACATGGAGCCACACATGTATTTTCATCGAAACAAGATGAGAATGAATTAGATGTTGATATTGATCTTGTTTTGGCTCAAGGTGAAAGAAAAACAAAAGAATTGCGAGAAAAATTTGAAAACTTAGGCGAAAGTCAATTACGTAAATTTACTATTGATAATGAGAATATGAGTGGTCAAAATGCAGGTGGGTCCGGTGATGGGACTGATGCTGGTGGCGGTTCAATTTATAAATTTGAAGGTGAAGATTATCGAGAAAAACAATCATCAACACTTGGCATTAAATGGATCGAAGTAAATTGACTGCGAAATTTCATTTCGATTTTCTTTTAAAATTCATTTGTAATTGCTCTTTAGCCACCAAAACGAGAACGTAAAGCAAATTATGCAGTTGATGCATACTTTCGTGAAGCCCTACGTATGAGTGAACCTCGTGCACCAAAAGCACCACGTCCTCCGCGTCAACCAAATGTTCAAGATTTTCAATTTTTTCCTCCACGTCTTTTTGAATTACTCGATCGTGAAATTTATGCCTATAGAAAATCTATTGGTTATAAAGCTGTGCGTGATCCAGACATGGAGGAACAAGAAGGTAAACGGCAACAACAAGAAGAACAAAAGAAAATCGATGAAGCTGAAACATTGAACGAAGATGAACAATATGAAAAAGATCAATTACTTCAACAAGGTTTTTGTAATTGGACAAAACGAGATTTTAATCAATTTATTAAAGCAAATGAAAAATATGGTCGAGATGATTTGGACGCAATTTGCCGAGATGTTGAAGGAAAAACACCGGATGAAGTGATGTCGTATGCAAGAATATTTTGGGATCGGTGTCATGAATTAACCGATGTCGAACGTATTATGGCACAAATTGAACGTGGAGAAACAAAAATCCATCGACGAATCAGTATTAAAAAAGCACTCGATGCTAAAGTATGCTATATTTTACAGTTAAAAAGACGACTAATGAACAGCTTCAACCTAAATCTGATGTACCCTTTACAGTAAACTTTGAAAGCATACTTTTCAATCTTGTTTTCTAAACAGACCGATATCCACTCTTGTCAATCATCAATAAGTCTAAAACAATTTTCGAAATTATCATGCTATCTAAAAGTCTGATAACAAAAAAATACGTTCACCTTTAATAAATAGACTGACTACTGGCGTATATACATTTTGACGTTTGTCTGACTTAAGCGAATTGTATTCGTAAGCAGGAAAAACTAGTTGATGAATATTTCCTTCGGAATGAAAGTATGCCTTAGGATTTTAGCGAAACTATTTGAATGTTACTCAAGAATGTAATTGTTTAATAATTTAGATGGCTCGATACAAGGCACCATTTCATCAATTACGTATTCAATACAACACAAATAAAGGCAAAAATTATACAGAAGAAGAAGATCGTTTTCTACTTTGCATGTTACATAAACTTGGTTTCGATAAAGAAAATGTTTATGAAGAACTCCGCTATGCTATACGACAATCACCACAGTTTCGTTTTGATTGGTTTCTAAAATCACGTACTTCAATTGTTCGTATATTATTAAAAATAGAATATTTTTCCTTCATTAAATTCAATTTTCTGTTTTTTATTTAGGAATTACAGCGACGTTTAAATACATTAATAACTTTTGTCGAACGAGAAAATCAAGAATTAGAAGAGCGTGAACGTGCTGAAAAGAAAAAAGGTCGTACATCAACGAAGAATACTAATGCATTAAATTCATCACAAAATTCTCAATCGACACCTGTTGCAAAGGTTTGTCATTAATTATTCATTCCTTCATTCATTTATTTTCTATTTTAATTATTATAGGTTAATGGTAATCAAAAACGAAAACCAGACGCATTTACTACTGCATCAAATAGTTCACCTGCTAAACGAAAGAAGAAATGATCTTTTTCAATTTCATCATATCTTGGCTAAATTCAGATTTTTTTTGTAAACAAGAAGAAACGACTAAAATAAAATAATTTTCTATGTTTGTGTGTATCTGTGAATGTTATTATTGTCTATTTGTTGTTTATCGTTTTTTCCTTGTCTTGATTCTGATCGACTAGAAGTCAATTAGAAACAAATAGTTTTCATGGTTTATTAATAAACAAGTCATACATTCTTTAATGTGGTGAAAAATAATCGGAGTATTATGTGTATGAAATGTATTTGTTTTTCTCTTGAAATTTTTTGGCAAAATTCAAATAGATCTGTTGGTATTTCAATGAAAAACGATAAATCATCATGCTGAAATCCTATCGAAGAAAAAATGAAATGATCTCAATTCGGAACTACTAATTTGATTGTAGAGAAAGTTCTAAATCATAAATGATTTTTGTATAGAGGAAAGAAAAAAAGCCTAATTAAATTTATAATAAAATCGATCATGGGCAGTTTTCTGTTCAGTATAAAATTACGGATATTAGAATTGGAATCGACATTTAATAAAATTATCAAGATTAATATTGCCGATGATCATATGAGCTCGATCCGGATTCAAGAATTTTCGAGTCCGATGATTCTTAATGTTCACATCGTATTTTATATTGTAAACTATAAAATAACAATAAAAACAAGTTTTAATAATCTACAAGATACAACGATTGTCTGTGTCTTGTGAATATCACGGTCGGGCTTTTGTTTTTTGTTCTCTTTTTCCTATTGCACAGTTTATCTACCACGAAAAAACCAAATCAATGACTTGAAAGCAAAATCAAACACAAGAGAATGCATTGAATATCATTTAGAAAGTATTTAACATTCTATGAGGTTAAATGATAAGACACCTAACATATTCCTATTACTATAAAGTAGAATCTACATATTTGTTCTCATAAATTTACCATTCTTGCATATAATCAAAGTTAGGTGTATTCTGTTCTTGTACGCTGGTTTTTTCTTCTCTTTCTCTCTCTCATTAATTAAATCGATTGTGACATTATTTTTAAATAAGAAAATCTTTTAAAATAAAATCGTGAAAATACATTTTTAATTAAATAACATCAACGAAACTTCAAACTCATAGTAATAATCTCCATTTTGTTCTTTATGTTATGATTGTTAATGATGATCGCTCTGGGGATAATCAATGTTTATATAAATTATGTCGGTAGAAAAAGAACAATTCTTTTATTTTAATGATAATATGACATTGAATGTGTGCATCTATTTAATTATAATAACTCTAACTTAATAATTTTCTCCTCCAAAAAAAAAAGAAAGAATCCCATTCATTATTTATTTTTCCTTTTTTTTTGTGCTTTCAATAGTTATAATGTAAAAGTGAGCTGGTTGATTAATCATGTAAGACAAATAGAAAGAAGGAGGGAGTCAGAGAGAAAAAATGATGTGTAATTTTGTCTACTAAATTGATGTTCTCCCGGCTGAATGCAAATAACAACACATACGTATGACCATAGGAAGCAATCTAGTATAACATTGTCGACAATAGTTCTCCATCATACATATACAAACTTAGATTTGATTGTAACAATCTTTTCTATGAGAAAGAATGGATACATGAAGCTTTCTGTGTATGTCTGTCAGTTATTGCATGATAATAATAATAATAATGATGATGATGATTTTTTTCCTTGCCTTTGCCATGTCTTTTGCTTGCCCTACTATTATCATTTACATTCATTTCATATCATATCATATCATACTCATCATCGTTCGTCGTCGAGCTAGCAATAACGCTGCTGTAAAATCGACATTAACAACTAGACGTCAACGTTAATCTTCCACCTCTTTTCTCTCTCTTCTTTGTATCGTATTTTGTTATATCTGGCTCTCTCTCCCTCTCGGTTACACGCTCTAATAGCAAAAGAATAAGAGAGAAATTCAGCAAATCGGATGGCTCGTTGTGTTAGTGAATCGGACGAATCCGAATGTAGAATGCGTAAAGAAAGAAAAGAGAAGATTAATTTTGTTTTTGATATAAACTGTTTCATGATATTGGTAGCATGTGTCTATCTATGTATTGCCGTTCTTACTTAATTCGGATTCGTTGAGAATGAGAATAAAACGAGTAGGAGAGAAGAAAGGCGCATAAAAGAGCGCATCAGAGAGAGAGAGAGAGAGCAATCCACTTTTTTTGGTCATGCGCGCAAGAGAGCGCATCCATTTATTCCTCTAGCTACAGATTTTTTTTGATTAATTTTGTATAGATTATTATTATATGAAGCACATACTCCTGGCATAAAAACAGAACTGAGAACAATGGAAATTTTACGTGCTGAAACCAATGAATTTCCACATTTAAAAGTATGTATTCGTTTAAGAAGTTTTTGTTTATTAATTAATTAAACATTTGAATAGGCTACTGATGGTGGTACAACAAATAATAATAATAATAATAATAATAATTCATCAACATCATCATCAACTATAGATGAAGATGATGATGATCGATTTTCGAATGTTAGTACACAAGATGAGAAACGTACAACAAAATCTCCTGTCAATACTGAAGATAAATCAAAAATCAATGATGAAAATTCAATAAATGATTCACTAGTTCAACCACCGATTGTTCAATCAGTTGTTAGTCGAGCAACGTCAACTATTGATTATACACGTCATCGTGAACGTCTTGCGAAAGAACTTAAAGATTATGAAGATCGTTGGTTAGCACATAGAAATTTCCTTCTCTACACACAAGCATTTAGTATGAAACCCGAAGATCGTGAACGTTTATTTTCACAAATAAATTTAACGAATAATGATGAAGCATTTTCACGTTTATCAAAAGAAGAACGAGATCGATTTTTCGCAGCTGCATTATATAATCAACAACAGCAACAGCAACAACAAAGTCCCTATAATTTTCATCAATATCCATGGGCAACAGCGCCCCCACCGCCGCCGCCACCTCCACCACCACCAACATCATCATTACTTATTCCACCGATACCATCAACTACAACAGATCAACAGCAGCAGCAGCAGCAGCAGCAGCAACAACAAAACCAACAACCAAAATCACCTAGTTCAGATGATAGTGGCAATCAATCAAATTCTGGAAGTACAACTGAATGGTAAAATTGATGATATTCTCTTTTGTTTGCATTCAATATATATTTTTTTCTTTCTCTCTTTCTCTCTCTTATAGGACTTTCGAAGAACAATTTCGTCAGGTAAATAAATCTTACTTGACGAGAAATCAATTAAGTTTAGTCTAACCATTTCTATCTGTATTAAGATCTATCATTTATTTGTTTCTGTTTGCACATCATTTGCATAGCTAGTAGATGTGTCTCGCTCACTCTTTGTAGATAGACTGAGTATTGATAGCTTTGAGGCAATAATTAATTGGATTGTTTGGTATATTCTATATGGATGGGGAGTGCCATAAGAGATGTAACAAAGACTCGTTCATCTATTTTCTCTTTCATAGAAACACTTATCTATTATTGAAGACACGCGGGTTAAACGAGAAATCAAAACCACATCGATCTTCTTTTTATTTTATTTTACACAATAGTTTCTCATAGACAAGGTAGATCAAGGCGAACATTCACAGAAAATTAATCGAAAAAGAAAAGACGGGAACGTTGACCATCTGTATGAATACACGCATACATACATACGCACACACATTGCTTATTACTTATTGACAAGGTAATTAGAGGCAGAAAGAAAAAGATTGATTATTTAAAATTCTTTGTCTGAACAGAAAAAGAAATAAGTTTATGTATATAAATGTATATATTGCTTAGATAGTCTGGCATATCAACATACACACATTATTTCAGTTGATTAGATCGGAAAATAATTATCGGGCTGAAGGTTACAAAAAAAAGAAGACGCTTGGGCAGGCGTCTGTTTTTATTCTTTCTTGCTATTTCTGCGTAGATATATGTATAAGGGTTTGTGTGTCGTAGAGAAGTATATTACAATCAGATATTGTGATCGATGTTGCTCGACTGACATTTCTGTTCGTATCTTTCTCATCAGGTTTATATAACAATAAGAAGTTTCTATCCATCAAAAAACGTTTATGATCTTGCAGCTGTTGTTTAGCTTGTAACTATCCCTTTAGACTAATTTTCTTCCGATTAAGGCCGGTCAGTTTTTGTCTGATGATCAATTTATCGTTTACATTAAAGACAGAATATATCCATGTCAGTCATATATACATATCAACTAATTGCTTTCGTAGGAAAAATGAAGAAGAAGAAGACGAAGAAGAAAAGAACGACACATTAGTTTTTTGCTCATTTATAAATATGTGCATCTTTAGATTATTGATGAGCTTCTGCGTTTGGATCAACAATTAGTCTCATAGGGACTTGTATATATATATATATAACTGATTCTTTTTCTAAAGAAAATGTCTGATCATCAAATAGAATGTCGCACGGCCGTACGCTTCTCTACATAGGAACGAGAGCAGCACAGCTCGCGGCTATATCGATTATTTGCTACTAATTGCATTGTTTCGAGGCAGATGGTTGACGAGCAAAAAAATGAGCATCTTAAAGAAAAAGATTTCTTTTTATGGACTATTCGATTACAATTAAATCACAAAGAATATCCAGCTGCTGTCAAACTAAAAATCAGCTTAAAGATTATTGCTTATCCTATATGTAAGACACGTTTAACGAAAGAGAATATTAAACGATGAAGTTCGTTTCTATCGTTGTGTCTTATCAATAAAGGAGGTCAAATCGAGCAGAAAAGACGGTCGAGCACTTGTCTGTATATAAAAAGAAAAAAGCTTCATCGATCACAATTACAAGTTAGGGAAGAGAAGAAAAGATAGAGTCTTTCGTTTTATCTGCAGAGAGAGAGACACATCTACTAGCTATGCAAATGATGTGCAAACAGAAACAAATAAATGATAGATCTTAATACAGATAGANCCCCCCCCCCCCCCCCCCCCCCCCCCCCCCCCCCCCCCCCCCCCCCCCCCCCCCCCCCCCCCCCCCCCCCCCGCCCCCCCCCCAATAAATAAACAAATCATCATTGCATATACGCTCGATTAGAGTCATTTCGGATGAGAGCGAAAGGAAAAAAAATTATTAATGAATTTCCTGTCTTGTCCGCAGTGAATGAATTAGTTTAATGAAACAAGTTTTATATTTTTTTTAGCTTTATGAATTATCCGACGAACCTAAACGCAAAGAATTTCTCGATGATTTATTTGCATTCATGCAAAAACGTGGTAAGCATTTAATTACGCGAACAGTTGATTTTATAATTTTTTCATTGGAAGAAATTTTTTATCCAATAATAAATAATCATCATCATCATGAGATAGAGAAATGATTTCAGGAGGAATGTTGTTTGAGTGGAAAATTATTATCAATATATCATAATGAAACAAAACATTTGACTGTTAACGGAAGTATCGGTTTGAAGTTCAAAGGAGATTGAAATCAAATATGAATATATCTTTCTTGTTCTTGACAGGTGATTGAATGAAAGTATTTGTTTGTTCGATTTGATGAATTATATACTTGAGAATAAGATGATAAAGAAGAAAAGATGAAATCATTATTTTTCTTCTTCTTCTTCTTCTTCAAGGTACTCCTGTTAATCGAATTCCTATCATGGCAAAACATGTTCTTGATTTATGTAAGTGAATATTTAATTCTCTATTGATGAGAAAGATAAATAAGAGATTTATTTTGCTTTCTGTAGATGAATTATTTCGTTTGGTTGTGGGAAAAGGCGGTCTCGTCGAAGTAATTAACAAGAAATTGTGGCGTGAAGTGACGAAAGGTCTCAATTTACCAAGCTCGATTACTAGTGCTGCCTTTACTCTACGTACACAGTATGTTTATATCTTTACATTGACATTCTTATTTAGGGAAATAAATTTCTATCGAAAATAATTATTCTATTTGTTTAATTGGAGGAAATAAAACAAACAACTTTCGAATCTGTTCTTTTCAATCAAATATAGTTTATTTATCTAAGTACTCATTGAGAAGAATCGATCTACGCATGTCCATTCGAGAAATCTATAGTTTAATATATTCTCTCGAGACTTGTTCTATTCAATTTTTTCGTTCGGGTTTTTTGTTTTTAACAATTAGATAAAGTGTTGATATGTATCGTAGATTTAACTAATAAGTTCTATTAGATCAATACAGAGGTCAAGATTTGTCTCATAAAGAGATTTGTATTTTTTATTCGAGTAAATATTCTTGGCATTTGTTGTCTATCATATGTCAATGTCTCGAACATAAATGATAAGAGATCAATTTGTTCTGGCATATTTCTACGGAGGCGAAAAAAGAAAGAAACTTGCACCATCATTAATTCTCAACTTAGCGTGTCAATGCCGTTTGTTTGCTATTATTATAAGGAAAACGACTAATGACAATGGAGAGAAGTATTATAATATTGTTATTTTTTTTGTCTTTTTTTTCTATTAAGATATATGAAGTATTTATATCCATATGAATGCGAAAAATTACAATTAAGTTCGCCGGGTGAATTGCAAGCAGCAATTGGTAAGATTAAATCAAATACAGTTATCGCTATATTTCCTGTATCTTTCTCTCTTTGCGTTTTTAAGAAGGCAATCGACGTGAAGGACGTAGACCATCATATGCATTTGAATATTCTTCACCACCACAAATAATGGCACCACCACCACCCCCAACATCATCAGCAGCAAGTGCCTTTCTTGCTAGTCCATTAGCACATCGACCAAGTAATAAAATTTCTCTATAAAATGAATAGGAAAACGATTCAATTTGTTTTATTATTATTATCATTATTATAGTGGACCCTAATCATGGCCATGAAGCAATGCAACATGCAGCTATGGCTGCTGCTCTATCTCATCCATTTTTTCTTGCAGCTGCAGCAGCTTCATCACGCGATGGTAATCATTCATCAATTGAACCATCGTCAATACCAAGAATTCCTTCATTTGATGATCATCATCATCTTCATCATCATCATCATTTACAATCATCATCACCAACATCAATTATTCCAACAAATAAACTATTCGAGCGATCATCAACAATAACCAAACGAAGCCTCTCACCATCATTATCTAAACAGCAAAATGATGATAATAATTCATATTCAAAAAAACCCATAACAGCAATAAATAATATTCGTTCAACATGTTTTGCACCAGTGACAAATAATAATAATAATAATAATAATAACAATAATAATAGTTCATCATCATCATCATCAACATCATCATCATCATCATCATCATCATCATTATTATCGCCAGCTAGCAAATTAAAAATTATTGCGAAAGGTAAAGAAAAGCTGACTTGGAGAAAAAAGAATTTTTATCTAAAAATTTTTTTTTTAAGAAAACAATCCTGACCAAGAAAAATCAATTACAATATCAATTGAATTAAATGGTATTGTATATCAGGGAACATTGTATCCAACAAATTTATTGACTGGTAGCAAAGAGTGAACATCAGAAATAAAAAAAAAAGCGCGCTTGTGTGTGTGCTTTTTCAATTCGAGATATTTTCTTGAGATTTCTTCTTTTTCTTCTTCTTCTTCTTTGTTTGTATTCTATCTTGTTTTGTTTTTCTTTTGTATTGACCATAATTACTACGAACGCTTTTCTCTCTTTCTTTCTATCTCTCTTATTTGTGCATAAAAATTAACAAAGTATTTCAAATAGCAAAATTTATTAATTCGATGTTTTGCTCAAATTTTAGAATTTACAATGAGAGATGAACTAAGCTGGATTGTGTTTGGGGTTACGCAGTAAAAAAACTTACAGATCCGAAACGGCCATGTTTTGTCTTTTTAATGCTATATTGACATAGAGAGTTGACAATTTTATCATTGACATATATCACGATAAACTTTAATTTTCTGACATTTCACATCTGTAAACACGATTATATTTTATGACATTTCAGATAGCCATCTAGCGCAAAACCTAATTCAAGTACGACAAGACCAATAGAATTGTCATATTTACTAGCCATGACCGAAGAATATGGGTTATGAAATTAGATCAAGTTTTCATTGATCTCCATAGGGTTCATATGACACACAGCAGTTAACATAAAAATATGATTCTCAATTCAAAATTTGAATAAATAAATGATCCTTGCTATGGTTTGGTTCATCAGTTGCCTGCCAAGGGTTCTAGATGCGAGATTTATTGTATCAATAACAAGAAAATAAACATACATGACTAAATTATTTAAGGAATAATTTCATAAAAACATTAAATTTATCATAACTTGATGGAATTCAGCACAACAATTATTTTACTCTTACGTTAGAGTGTTTCATAAATACCAAAATGTGCAAATTTGGATTTTATGTTAGAGTCAAGCTGCTCGAACTGCAATTCACTTCAGTAAAAATTCAAAAACAATTGAGTTTCATATCTTGCTCTAGAAATTGTTATATTTTATTTTTTGATATGATTTTCATGCAGTACCGAAATGATTAGATACTATCAAAAGTATTTATTTGTTTATGAATAGGAAAAAATCATGTATTTTATTTATATTTTATTTTCTAATCATAATTGAATGTAATAACCAAATGTAAATTAGATGTGTCACTATTCGGTTCTCAAGGAACAAAATCAGATTTCCTATGGTGTTTTCTAGAATTTTCAAAAAATGCATCCAGGATTATACTCAGCTTTGGTTTTCTTTTTATTTCAGAAGATAGTCACATCTTCTCCCTTTCTAGTAACGGATTTCAATGTCACGCATTTCAATCGTGAGAACGGTAAAAAGCAGTGCTATTCTCAGCACGAGTACTTAATTTACATTATTTGTCTGGCTGGATGACTTTCACTCGGATGTCTAAAAGAGTGCACTGTTGGAATTAAAAAATATATAATAAGATCTGTATTGAGTATCATGTTGAAAAATGTCTAAGAATTCAAATCGCTGAGACGCCAGTTTGATTATTTGAAAATATATGAACCTTACTTTAATAGACTAGAAAATTGACGAAAGAAAACTATGCCCGGTAGTAACTTTCATTTGAGAATGGCCAATTCGTACTAGATGAACCTTTAAAGATTCTATGTCATCTACTATCATTCTGGAGGGAATAATTGTTTGAATGGTCTACTTACTGTTCTAATAATGCTTAGAGTAGCACGTTAAAAGATCAATCCTGGCTTAAAGCTTGATTCGTAATCATTTCTTGAAGCCATTAGAATACTGTAATCATTCGAAGTAGAAAACAATGACTTGTTCTTCAGGTATCAAATTATTAATGTCATTACTTCTGGATTGAATTTCAATTTTTTTCCGTATCTATCTTATCAAAAACTATTGCTACATAGAAGTCACAGTACCATTCGCATTGTTCACCTCATAAATACGATGGATAATTCTCAAAATTGAGTAATTACCTATCCAAAAACGCTATTTCTTAGTTAGAAAACTACTAAAAAATCTTTGTGATATATCACATCGTAGTACTTATCAGTATGATTAAGACTTTTTTTTCCCCGAGAATGATTAGCTTGAACCAATTTATATAAAATGACTGAGACAAGCGTAAAGTTATTGTCTATCGGCACCAGAAAAAAACGTTCAACTGCAGGCAATCAGTTATCACGAACTTGATACAAACGGTCATTTCAATATGCACTGAAGAATATTATCAATAAATGAATCAAATCTCATACTGATTAATTCTCTTGTGCTATCAAATTTTGATTTCCTATTTTTTACAAACAATGAAAATTTTTGTTTAACACGTAATACACGTCAACAAGAATCTTTCATGTTTTGAAAACTGATTGGTTAAACGTATATCTAATTTCATACGCAGTCGGATGAAATAGAAAGGATATAGTATTAATTTTTTTTATTTATTCTAGTAAAATAATTTGTTTCTTCAAGAGGAAACACATCATCACATGGGAACTCAAGTGAAAAGACACCAAGTATCCAATTCTTTTTTTGCTTTCATCCAGTTTTGTAGAGCTCGTTTCGCTGATCATTTCAGTATAAAAACAAATTAAAATTCATAAGTAAAACAAATGTGTATAGCGAAAATACTAAAACTGTTTTTTTTATTAGAAATACCTTAGATTTTTCGGTATTTTAGCCCTAGCGTAGTTATTTCTACACATTTTGTTGACAAAAGATATACCAAAATGTTCAGCTCAATTAGCTCTACAAGATAAGATACTTTTCAAAATTACTCGAAGTCATTTTTCAATGATTTACTTAGGTAAGTGCGCCAAAAAAAGTAGGCGATTTTATCTAGAAATGGCTACATTCTGCTCGAATCTGAAATATAGTGTTTTGAAATACGGTCAGAAGCCTTGCTTGAATAGCGTCACAACATTAGGAGCATCATGCGCCATAGGGGAAAACAGTTATACGCCTGATGATTGATCAATTTTGTCTTTGAGATCTCAGATTCAGAATCAGAATCGACGGCTATCTCTTAGGAAATTATACGAAAGTCCAATTATTACTAATAACGGTTCGAATTATTCGTCACTGTGATTATTCTTTTTGTGGAATACACCCTTGCTCGTGAGATTATTCATCAAATACTTCTAAAGATTAGGGGTATGACAGCTCAGCTTTAGTTCCTATCAAAAGAACTGTTCAAGCAGATCAGATCAGATCCCATAAGAGACGCCTATATCGATATAGACATCATCCCAGTGTAGATCCTAACAGTTCTTTCGCTCATGTGATCTCAACTTAGATCTGAGAACTGTTATACCCCTACTAAAGATACCATATAAAGAAAAGTTGGTGTCTTCATCCATCACATGCTCATTGTACGCGATTTAGTTCAAAATCAACGCATCCTGAAGGTCGTAAGTTCATGGACGCAACGCAAGCCCAAATAGTGAATCGTCAAATCATGTGTAATTCACATTGTGCTTCCGTAATTTTGAAAGAAGGCGATAAGATGTGTCAAAGATGTTATGAAGCTTTATCAAATGTCTTAGAGATGATTCATTCGATTTGGCAGCGATGGATATAGCATTTGAAGATGAAATGGAGAAAATTGATTCAGAATGTCGTGAAGAAAGTATTCTTGCAAAACAATCAGCAGAAGAAGAACTCACTGCTGTTTTTCATTTTTGTTTGTTATCTGAAGCGTGACGATATCGAGATAGTCACAGAAGATTTGGTTACCGAGCGTTGGAATAAAAATAAAGATAAAAATTTTCTTTTATTACAATAAACTCTATCATACTTTTGTCGATGGTTTACCCTACTTTGGTCGAAAGGTAAATATGTCGAAAGTAGAAATGTCGAAAGTAAATGTTTCGAACAAGAAAGATGCCGACAGGAAAAATTTTCGGTAGTAAAATTTTGATAAACATTACGTCGATTTCTCCGGATTCAAGTTTTGATGCAAGTGAAAACTTATCCTTCATTACATCAAGCAAAGATCTACCATTATTAGTTATGAATAAACAATTATGCAAATGTAATAAGAAGACGGCGTGTAAAAAATATTGGATTTGTATTTTTAGTGGATGCTCAATGGTAGTTCATAGATGAAAATGATTTTTATTTATGCGAAGGTAAATGTGATTATCATCATCAATAAAATTCAGACGTCATTCAACTCATCAGATCTACTTACTGTTTTATCATTACACTAGTCGACGATCTTGACTTCGATCTGTCCAGGTTCTTGTTTTTCTTGAATATCAGAAAAGATTCTTTTGCCATTCCTTCTGTACAAGATTCTTGTCTGAAAAAACAGATCTTGACTTTCTGGCAAGATTCGTGTAGACACAATCTTGGCTGGCGAGGCAAGAAATGTCCCGCCAGGCAAGATTCTTGTGTTCTTGTATTCTTGCCTGATTCTTGTGTTCTTGCAATTCTTACATGATTCTTGTTTCTTGCTTTTCTGGCATGATTCTTGTTTCTTGCCATTTTGGCAAGATTCTTGTTTTCTTACAATTCTTGCTATTTTGAGAAAATCCTTGTAATACAGATAAATTTTATTTAGGCATCCATACGGTTGCCTCCTTTCGGTCCTATTATATTT